GTAGTAAAGAAGTGATCCAAAGTTACCACCATTTCCCTTTATCAGCAGCAGAATGAGAAGGCCCAGCTTGAGCAGGGAGACCAGCAAGGTTAGCAAAATACAGTAGAGGTAGAAATGGAAGAGATTCCCCTACCCCGGTCCTCATGAAAAAGGGAAGTTGAAGAAAAAAAAAGAGTCAAAAATCACTAAAAAAAGATAAGTGAGCTGTCAAAAGTAGGCTCGAAAAAGAAAAACAGTCAAAAACCAAGGCTCAATCCGTCCCGGATTCGCCAGTCAAGAAACAAGAGGAAATTACCTCAAGGAGAGCCCATTCTTCCCCTCTGAAAGCACATTGCCCCCTCCCAATGCCACTGCAGCCGATGATATTTCCACATCCCCTTTTCACCAGCACAACGCCTAGCGACCCCATAACGCCCAGCACCTGCCACCAGAGTTCTTCTCATAAGAATTTCCCACGGGGGTAACATCATGTCAAATAGACAGATGGTCAATAGAAAAGGACATTTCAATACAAAAGAGAGCGCTGTTAAAATTCTTGCTCAAAATATCGTCAGTAGACGGGCGCTCTATAGAAGACCCCCTGAAATTTCCCAAAGGCTGCTGGGATAATAACATAGATTAAAAACACAGGCAGAGACCTTAGAGTATGGGATCATCTACACGAAGTAAAAGAATGCCGTTCCGGAGATCCGTATGGTAGAAATGGGAACTCCGGGCCTGAAAAAAAATCAAAAATATTGTACGAAAAGAGTCCCACAAATCCTCCATCCGTCATTATATAGGGCCTTAAAAGTGACCTCGGACGTTGGCGGCATTGTCCTGGATTGTCGCATGACGACAGATGGGGACAGGGAATCTGGGTCAATCCGTCGGAGTCCTTTGATCTGCGGATTTCCGTCCAGTCTGTAACTAGGGAAATCAACTTGAAAAATGTTTCTCAAGATAATGCGAGGGGCTTGAAGGATCGGAGTAAGGCTACCCACCTGCTTAGTGATCTTTCCTTCGACGTGAATGTAGCCGCGATCCAGGAAACACACTTTGTTTGCGAGGTTGATGCTCATGTGCTGTCTAGCGACTATGTTGTTTATTCAGCATACGTGAACCTAGCCGGACAGAGGTGTTTCTTTGCTGGTTAAACGTACCCTAGATGCAAAGGTGGACCTTTTCCATTTCGATGCGGGGAGGCGGGTGATAGTGGTCGATATTGCCGTGAACAATAGTTCGTTTCGGATCGTTGTTGTTCTTGCGCCCAACGATCAGGGGGAGCGTGTCTCGTTTTTCTGACAGTTGGGGACGTTCGTGGTTGATTCTTTGCGCGCTTTGATCGTAGCCTGGTTGATCTGATCGACGAGTTTGGTCTCGTCGATAGATTACGGGTCGATCACCCTGGGCGAGAGATGTGGACGTGGACTCGTAAGTGGCTGTCTACCCAGGTAGCTAGCTACCTGGATAGAATGTTAGTAGGGGGCCGATATAGACTTACTAGACAGCCCCACGTTCCACTGGTTAGGCTATGCGGATCATAGTCTCGTCTATGCCCGGATAGCGTTAGATGCTAGACCTAGAATGGCTGGACAATCAAGTTCAATCTGCCTTTACTGAACAGTCGGGATTTCCAGCAATTGCTAATTAGACCAGTATAGCAGGAACTAGTGGGGCGGTTATTGACAATAAGTGGTGGGAGAGGCTTAAGGATAGGATTAGGTCCTTTACCACGGAATATAGCCAGCGGCTTGCACTAGATAAGAAAAATTGTTTAAAGATACTAGGCAGGCTCTGAAGCGCGGGTCTAGCAAGCGCTACAAGAGACAGGTATTTCGACATAGGTTAAACAAGATATCTAACGAAGCAGCGAACATGGGTGCACAATTACACAAGGAAGAGATCTGTCGAGGTTCCGATCGTTATATTCGTGAGGTTAAAACCCCTGAGGGGCGCTCTCTGAAGTCGACTGACGACATATGTGCGAGGCGTTTTGGCGGCATTTCGAGAGCCGGTTTTTCAAAGAGCCTGGTCTCAGTGACGATGAGTTTTGCAGCTACTTGACTGACTTTCCTCGGCTTTCAGCGACTAAAACGGCTAGCCGCGAGATCACGGAAGGCGAAGTCTACTTGGCCTTGAAGAGGGCAGCAGTGGCAAGTCTCCGGGACTTGATGGTTTACCTTATTAATTGTACTTGAGGCTGAGGCACATCTTTTGCAGATTTTGACTGTCGTGTTCAACAACTGGTTCCGGCAGGAGTCCGTCCGCAATCGGATCACCAGGAATGTGATGACACTGTTAAAATTGGGCATTGATGTTACCTTCAGTATCTCGATTTCAGAACCCATTACTTTTGCTAAATACATATATATATATATATATATATATATATATATTTATTATTGCAAATATTATGAAAGGACCCCCGTCTTTATAATCCACAGGTCTTTAACATTTATTTTTATTTTAAAAAATCGACAGTGCTCGGTTGACTTTCCTAGAGCATAATTTACAGATTTTTTTTAAATTCTATAGCCATCTTTCAATCAGAAATATCTATTAAAATTTATATATTTATCCCTAAACTAAGGAAAATGTTTTATATATATCTATATATTATATATATTTTGTGAATGCTTTAATTGAGACATGTTGAATATTTTATATTATATATATTATATTTTATATTATATATATTATATATTATATATATTTTCGACAAGTTTATATCTATATATATTTCAATTGGATTCTTTAATATTCAAAGAACAAGGGTTTTTTATCATCCACAGGTGTTGATATTTATTTTTTTTAAAAAAATCAGTGCTCTTTCGTCTTAGAGCAATTTCAACATTTTTTTAAAATATGTTTATTTCAGAGAAATATTCTAAATTGTTCATCATTTTCGGAACAAAACTGCTTTATATATATTTTTTACATTGTGAAGCATTTTGGCAGAATGAAAAAATGTGAACACGTATATATTTTTTAATATATGTTTTTTTTGATATTTTTTTATTATATATTTATATATTTTTTATTTTCAATATGTTTTTTGATATATTTTTTTTCAATATGTTTTTTGATATATTTTTGATTCAATGGTTTTTTGATATATTTTTTCAATATGTTTTTTTGATATATTTTTTTCAATATGTTTTTTTATATATTTTTTCAATATGTTTTTTTGATATATTTTTTTCAATATGTTTTTTTGATATATTTTTTTCAATATGTTTTTTTGATATATTTTTTCAATATGTTTTTTATATATTTTTTCAATATGTTTTTTATATATTTTTTCAATATGTTTTTTGATATATTTTTTAACATGTTTTTCGATATTACTTTATAATGTTTTCGATACTACTTAAAAAAATTTAGGTTATTTTATATTTTAACTTGAAATTATGAATTTAAGATTTAAAATTTAAAATTTGAATTTTAGATTTTAATTAATTTTTCTTTTACTCCTTAGATGTTATAAATAATATTAATATTTTTGTTTATCTTATATTCTCATTATATATTTTTCTTATTTTATTTTGTTGATAATTTTTAAATTTTAAATTAATGTCGAACGTTAACAGCAAAATATATCAATCTGTATTTTTAAATTAACCTCAATATGCCCATATATGTTAATGTATTATCCCCTTCTTCTTTCCTCTTTTTCCTCCCACCACTGCTTCCACATTTGCTTCCTTATATCTTTTCTTCTCTTTTTTTCTCTTTGTCTCGTTTTCTGTGAGATGACTTATTAAATAGGTTAATGTATGGTCCTTATCCCCTCCATTACTCTGAAGTATTTTAATAAAAATAGATTTAAAATTATTCCTATCTCTCCCTTCTTTCTCTAATTTTGACCATATCTGTCGTCCACCTCCTCCTCCTCTCTCTATCACCTTACATCAACTTAAAACTACTCCTCAAAATGTTTAAAAATAATAGGTAAATTTAAAACCATTTTTTATGCTTGGAAATGTGATCTGAGGAACCAGGAAAAAACCCTTCTTGGGGAAATAAAATATAATCAATGGACCCTTAAGGGTATCTGATTTCTAATTATATATATATATATATATATATATATATGTGTGTGAAGAAATATAGTCTTAAGATGCGCTATATTTATGGGATAAAGTGCTCAATATCAGAGATAGAGCGTGTGTAAATATAAAAGTGAACATAGAAGTCAACACTTAGAGGCGACAGTCTGTTTCACGCTAGATGCAATTGTCAGGCCATGAAACAGACTGTCGCCTCTAAGTGTTGGCTTTATAATCACTTTATATATATATATATATATATATATGTGTGTGTGTGTGTGTGTGTGTGTGTGTGTGTGTGTGTGTGTGTGTGTTGATTTGGGGGTTAGTAGAGACAAACGCCAAATAACACGTAACAATAAAAAGGGTTTTAATAGGTTGGTAAAAAGGTACAGAAATCGCCTGAGTAGTCAATAACTAGCTCAGCTAAGAACTTCTCTGTCTATCTGTCTTCCCCATGTCAACTGACATGCCACTATTTAAAGTCTTTGTTCACAGACGCAGACAAGTTCATCTTCAAGAGGGGTGGTAGGTTTCCGACACAACAATATGTATATAAATAAAAAAAAAGAACAGTAAGATATATAATCTGGTGTTCTTATAGATATCTTTATTTTTACAAAATAGTGCTCAATGTAAATTTACAGAGTTGAAACATGGTTAGAAATATATTTTAAATCAATTAATTTATTATTATTATTATTATATATATATATATATATATATATATATATATATGATATTTTATAGATAACAAATTAATTTTGCAGATGTAAGCGGATGTATGAACGTTTTAAACTGGAATAAGCCGCTGTATAGTTGATCTGTTTCATTCTGATATTTGTCAATTCCTCTTTATGATAATATATATATATAGAATAAATAAATATTGCAGATGTATATATATATATATACACGTTTCATTAAATAATATAGATGCATTTATTTTATGTAAAAATTTGTTCGTAATTAGTTTAGACTTTATTAAATGAAGAATAAGCCACAATGTAAATTTTTTATATAATCTTTTCTACGTTAAAAAGTAAATCACAAACATAGAAGATATACGGATAGTCTGTCATTGTTTACATGGTTTAAGCAACGATAAAAAATGGACTTTGATTTACTATTTATTTTTTGCCTGTTTATCGTTGCTTGTCCGGAAGTTTTGAAGTTGTGTCGAGCTTTATTCCTTGTTGTCTGTTAGAATTGGCTTTTCTAATCCATCTAAAGTCATTTCGTTCTCTTTCACAGCTAGTGGCATCTTGCATCTTAGTGGCATCATTACCTTGCTCGGGGAAAATTATTTAAAAAAATAATTTAATTTTAATATCAGTTAAATATATTAAATACATGAACAAATTACATTATATATATATATATATATATATGTGTGTGTGTGTGTGTGTGTGTGTGTGTGTGTGTGGTTGGATAGCATTGAGTTTGAGACAAGGGTTTCACGCTTTAGCGATCGTCGACGATCGCTAAAGCGTGAAACCCAGGGTCACAAACTCACATCTATCCAACCAAATATGTTAGCTCTATCTCTGATATTGAGCGCTTTCTAATAATATATATAAATAATTATAATATATAAATAATTATATTTATATATATATATATTTATTTACACACACACACACACACACACACACACACACACACATATATATATATATATATATATATATATATATATATATATATATATATATACTGTGTATCGAATTATTAACGAGGTTACAATTGTCAATTTTGTCCGAAATCTCTAAGTTGGATTTAACAAAAATTTCACAGAATGATGACAAGCGTTATATCCGCGTACATTGTAAAACGTGTAAAGTTTCGCAAAATTACACAGAAACGACGGTCATTTACTTAAGTTCCAAATTATAAGCGAAGTGTAATTAAAACTCATCTAAACAATGAAATAACGCTTTAATTTCTTCCTATACACATTGTTATGGATACATACAGTAACTGATATGAAATAAATAGAAATCAACAATTAGCCAGAGCATAAAAACAATAGTGGATCTAGTTATATTGGATATGTGATCCTCTTCTTGGATAATTCGCTGGCACATGGAACATGTCAATTTCGGGATCTCCTCTCATGTAATTCTACGTGATACATTCACCATTGCCTGTCACAGGTTCTCCTTGGTACGGAATTGACGTCCATTCTCGTAAACCAGTAGCTTCAGAATGCCCAGAAAAATTTTCGATTAGTTTTAAGTCGGTAGATCTGGCCGGCCAGTTCATTTTTCGAGGTGCAGAAAAACATAATTGTTGCAGGTACTCTGTAGTTTTATGCGCTGCATAGGACGGAGCATTATCTTGCATAAATATGATGGTTTATCTGAACGTGATCCTTTGTTTTGTTTTGTTTTTTTAACCAAGTTTCAAGGTGTTCTCTCAAGAAGGCTATATACGCATCTGCAGTCATTTTAATACCGTCAGGCACTTTCTACAGGATCTAGGTAAATTGCTCGAAATCAATTGTTCGACAGTAAATTGCTCGAAATCTTTTGCTCGAAAAATAATTTCTCGAACTATTAATTGCTCGAAAGGCAGATTTCTCGAAGTCGCAACACTCACTTCAGCAGCCAGTCTTCCAGGACCTTCTCTCTTGGCTGGCTCAACACAAGGTGGCAAGGCTAGTCTCTGTACGCGTCGTTCTCGCTTTCTTCCTATAGCAACCATTGTCTTGGCTGGCTCAACACACGGTAGCAAGGCTACTCCCTGTACGTGTCGTTCTCCCTTTCTTCCCATAGCAACCATTGTCTTGGCTGGCTCAACACACGGTGGCAAGGATATTCTCTGTACGTGTCGTTCTCGCTTTCTTCCCAATGCGATCATTGTCTTGGCTGGCTCAACACAAGGTGGCAAGGCTATTCTCTGTACGTGTCGTTCTCGCTTTCTTCCCAATGCGATCATTGTCTTGGCTGGCTCAACACACGGTGGCAAGGCTATTCTCTGTACGTGTCGTTCTCGCTTTCTTCCCAATGCGATCATTGTCTTGGCTGGCTCAACACACGGTGGCAAGGCTATTCTCTGTACGTGTGGTTCTCGCTTTCTTCCCAATGCGATCATTGTCTTGGCTGGCTCAACACAAGGTGGCAAGGCTAGTCTCTGTACGCGTCGTTCTCGCTTTCTTCCTATAGCAACCATTGTCTTGGCTGGCTCAACACACGGTAGCAAGGCTACTCCCTGTACGTGTCGTTCTCCCTTTCTTCCCATAGCAAACATTCTCTTGGCTGGCTCAACACACGGTGGCAAGGCTATTCTCTGTACGTGTGGTTCTCGCTTTCTTCCCAATGCGATCATTGTCTTGGCTGGCTCAACACAAGGTGGCAAGGCTAGTCTCTGTACGCGTCGTTCTCGCTTTCTTCCCATAGCAAACATTCTCTTGGCTGGCTCAACACACGGTGGCAAGGCTACTCTCTGTACATGTCGTTCTCACTGATCCCACGTTAAACCAGCCTTGTGCCACATGATGCCCACGTGGGTAGGGTGACTAAATATAGTCGTTCTCACTTTCTTCCCATAGCAACCATTATCTATTTTCATTAGACTTGTCTTACAGTATTCCCTTAATTGTTACTACTCATCACTGGATTGTCTATTGTTGGTATTGAATTAACCTACAATACTACGGACTATTTTATTGATGGACTAAAGTGAGAACAAAGTTTATAAGAATTGCGTATAGAGCAATACGTGGGAGGAGTGAGTGCAGCTGAGTGTAGAAAAAAGTACCGTGACTGTGCAATGCGATTAAAGAATATTGTATCAAACTATGACACAACAATGTTGAAGAATATTTAAGAAGTGTTGCATATAATATTTCATACTAATACAGTAAATATTAGCAACCATAGTTATGTTTTTTTTAAATCACGAAGAATAACAGTAATAATAAAAATGTATCCTTTATTTTAAGCTATGACGAAAAAGCAATGTAGAAAAAAATTAAGACCTACTATATAAATGTACTCGTTCTTCAATTTTAACTGTTCAGTTAACAACAATAAAGTTTTATTATTTATCTTATAATAAATATTACAAACAATGTAGTTTTATTTTATTTTTTTAATCACAGGTTTCGAGCAATCTGCCTTTCAAGCATTTGATAGTTCGAGAAATTATTTTTTGAGCAATTGATTTCGAGCAATTTACCGGATACCCTGTCTACAAACCGATCCTGATACTTCCAATAATACCAGCTCAAATTATGACACCCCTTCACCTTGTTGTTGGTGTCTCATGCTTTGATGGCGATGTCGTCTGTTTACCACCCAACCTCTGCTCCAACCGTCAGGGCCATCAGTGGAGACACGAGATTCATCCATGAACAAAATCTTCGAGAAGTCGACCTTCATGTTATCTTCTGCTCATTTCAGACTCTTTTGTATGTTTCTTTTTGTTAATGGAGGCGTTGTCACCGGATCTCAATGATTCCTTGACCTTTTTCAGAAAACGACGTCTAGCAGTTTTGGACACAGTTATTTCCCCAGTGCGCTTGAAAAGTTCCCCGCATGTCAGGCCTGGGTAATTTACAGCTTCACGTTTAATTCGCGACAGAAAACTGTGGGAAACAACCCTCGAGTCACTCTTATCGGCCCACTTAAGTACCTTCATAGGAGCTCCAAGAAACCTTTTCACAGTTTGATGATATCTTCCAAACATTCTGGATATATCCAATGTTGATTTACCTTTTGTATGTTTAGATCTTATTGTGGTTTCCTCCCTCTAAAGTGTCTATGTTGGACTCTTCCGCCAACTATAAGATTAGTAGGAGAGAAGGTGATGTGGGAACAGTCGAATAGATTGAACGCTAGGTCAACCGACACACACTCGTCGTGTAATACTTTACTGTTTTACTTACTATTTAGTATTTGATATATCTGTAACACTTGTTTTGTTATTTCTTTAACCATTTACTTGGTCCAACATCTTGGCGACGAGGCGGAAGAGTCCAACATAGAGTCTTTAGAGGGAGGACACTACAACAGATGTTATAACAGTGCGACCCATAATTGCAAGATTATGAAGTCACTCGTTAAGAATTTGAGACGCTGAAGTACCATGTTACTCATGCAAATGGCTGCGGTTTTCTTAAGAAAAAAAAGAATAAGTGCAAACGAAAGTGTGCACCGATGAGAGAAGTGCACGTAGGTATAAGACGCGTGTGCGTGATCGATCGAGATGTTTAATATGTACAATTGATTTTGCACCACGTGCAATGATCGATCGAGTTATGTAGTGCGTACTATCGATTTTCCGTCACGTGTAGTGTTCATTAGTGTTATGTGATGAAATAAATGCAAAAATCTCATTCACATGAAAATTGTCATCCAGTAAAAAGGTAGGCTGCCTTCATGCATGTATATTTTGAATTTTTGATACTCTTAATTTAAATTTGTAAAAATCGTATTATTAAAAAAGTTTAAGCGTAAATGCCAATTTTTAATTATGTATTTATCATCTTAATAATTGCTCGGACAACGAATACTGAATGTTTCCGTATAGAGAAACGTCTAGTATTAGCATAGCCACTATGAATACTAATAGATTTGTTTTAATTTCAATTGTACTTCATCAGGATTTTATTCTAGTGTTTATGAATTATTAAATAAAGAATTTTCAAGTATTATTATTTTGTAAATTCGGAGCTTGTAAAGGAAGACTCAAAGAAAATGACGACAGAAGAGACATTTCTACTTAAAATTAGGAAAAGGCATCTGGAATTTCTTGGATACATAATAAAGAAGAAGGGAGACCATCCCTGCAGGCATAAACTCTCCTTCGGGAGAGTCATTACCCGGCGCCTGGGGTATCCCCAAAAGGGAAAATGTCAAATGTTTCTACCGTTAGACCCACCTTAAACCACGACCTTGTGTCAGATTCGGTAGCGACGTGGTTGCGCTGAAAAATAGTCTTTTATTTTATTGTAACCTTCATTCTATAACCATTTGAGGGCTAAGCAGAGCAAAAATAAAATTTGAATACTCGATAAGTATCAAACTCGAAACCTGGTTTTCCGAATTGTTTTAACGAAACAAATCCTTATTTGATATCGTGACCCTGTGCCAGACAAAGCTAGTCAGTTATGTGCCATGCGAGATACACGCTTAGGCGATCATGTATCTTTCGATACATGACTGACGAGGCAGATTTTTTTCCGCAGTAGGTTGCCATTTCTTTCTGCAGTAGACTAGTTTCCATACAAGGCTATAGAACCCGGACTGTCCTGCTACTTACCCATAGCTGGGGGAAGAAGAAGAGGATTCATATCTTTCCCAAGGGTATTAGCGCGAAAGTGAATGTAATGGATTCGACTGGAATTCGAACTCGGCTCTCCGATTCCTCAATCCGAGCTGCCCGGTCTGCCCTGCTATTCATCCATTGCTGGGTGGGAGAAGAAGAAGAGGATTCATACCTTTCCCAAGGGCACGTAAGTGAATGTAATGGATTCGACTGGAATTCGAACTCGGCTCTCCGAATTCTCGATCCGAGCCGCTATCCATTACTCCACCTTGCCTCCTCAAAGCTAACATTATGGAAAATACAGGGCTCAGTCAAAAATTATCCGTATTTTTGTCATAACGTATCTTAGGCTTGCCCCACTGCCTTCTTCTCATGCGTGATTATTGGTGGTACTATCCATGTCTGAGTTTGATCGCACCCGATTTCCTTTGGTGTTACAGTGTAAGACAGATTGTTTCGCTATTACAGCCCATCAGTGTAGCTAGAGATCGAAACCTGGCATCAGTCAGAGAGTCTACTCCCAATCTATCGTCGCACGGCAGAGAGTAAGTGAAACTGTAACGTTTTTTACTATATAGAAGACGTCAGTAGCTAGGAGAGCTCGATTCTAGTTGAAGAGTATTGCACTAGCAGCAGCAGCCGCTGTTTGTAAAATCACCCCTTCCTCTCCGAATGCTGAGTTGAATTTTTTGCTGTGTCACAGCTCATCAATGTGGCTAGACATCCGATTGCTTCAAACCGAGATCGAAACCCGACCGATCTGGCATCAAATATTTTACCCCTAAGCTATCGTCGCACAGGAGAGAGTAAGAGAAATTTTAACGTTTTTACTATATGAAAGAAGTCAGTGGCTAGGAGAGCTAGATTCTATTTAAAGAGCATTGTATTAACAGCAGCCGAAACTGTTTATATTTAAACAAAATTTTGATACCACAGAACTTGTAAATTGTTTTGAACAAACAAGACAGCACCAGAATTGTTGGCAACATAAAAAGAATATTAAGCAATCATTGCATTTAAACGTGCATTGGACAACATGTACCTGGTAATGTTAGACTGAGTATTGTTACCCGTAATACACGTCTTAGGCATACGGTACAGCATTGGCCAGCAGATTTTAGACAATCTGGATTCCACTGACATATATACGGATTCGACGTTTACCATTTTGGGTAAAGAACGGTAGGCAAAATATTTGCGTGTTTTAGAAGCAGTTTATATCAAATTACACCGACCGTCTCTATGTCGACAGAAAGAGAGATTTGTCTGTTCTCTTTCTGATATATATATATATATATATATATATATATATATATATATATATATATATATATATATTATTTATATATATATATATATATATATACACACACAGTTGTGTTGTCGAATAAATTTATATATATATATATATATTAATGAACAATTGTTATATATATATATATATATATATATATATATATATATATATATATATATTGAATTTTCTTTTTTTGTTTAGTTTGAATTTAACGTAAGTCATTTTAGATTGGTTGATTATGTTGCTTTTCAATCCTATTTTTTCTCGAATTAAGAGAAGATATTTGGCTTTTGAAATTAAATTAATCGTTCACTCGCCAATAATACAAAATTGCCTGACTAGACGCATTGATATATATATATATATATATATATATATATATATATATACGCATACACACACACACGTAAAAGTGGAAAATGTCATGAAGTTATTTATGACCTTAGATCTCTGGTTGGGACTCAGAAGGAAATGTGTATACAACAGAAATCCAAGGAAAGAAAGGTAAGAAAGATATATTAAACAGAAAGGTTACAAAGATAGTATAAGTGTTAGCGGAGCTTACTATGTGCTAGTGTCCAATATTGGTATTCATACGCGGTTGATACTACGGTATTAGAATACTCTCTCTCTCTCTCTCTCTCTCTATTCTCCTCCTCTTCTTCTCTCTCTAGAGTGTTATGTCGCATACTTTATATAGTCCTGGAAGAGTCCATGTTGTAGGTATGTTACGGTCTCACAATAATTATGTAGATTGTTCAGCCGTAATATGATGAGACCTAGCTACCAATCTGTTACTGCGCTTAAATTCGTAAAGTTGAGGTACCAAAGTTGAGGTATCATCAGAAGAATTACAATGAAAATATTTATAGAAAAGTCACAGCAGTTACGGCAGTTTG